ATAATTCCCTGCACGGACTATGGTTTTCCAGGTGTTTGTGTTTCTCGCTGCTTTATTGGGCCTTCTACTGTTATATCTACTCAGGTAAGACAGTTAATTTCCACCAGTTCTATCTGGGAAGGGCTCGGAGATCTTAAAATTGCTTATCTATTGTCCTCGACAGCCTTAGAATCGTAGGCCGTGGGGCCATTAGCCAGACGATAAGAATTCCAAAGACATATCACGAAGCTAGAAGCATCATTTCTCGTTTCGGTCATTGCTTCCGGTAGGGTCGCTTCGAATATGGTCGAGTTTTCTACGATATCCGCACCAAGGCGTAGAAGTAGACAAGCAGCGGTCTGACCTGAGAGAGCTAACATTAGGCATGCCACATGAAAGCATCCTAGGACCCCTCTTTTTTAACTTTTACACATCGCGACACTGTTAGTGCGAACACGATATCGGCGCACTTTCGCATTTTTACTACGCAAGAGTATTAGCGTGCCCTAAATTTTCTTGCCTACACTGGAGCCCCAAATGAGCACTTTCCGTGCCAATAAAATCTTTAATGAAATCCGTTTATTTTTAAGAGAAAAATAAAAAAAAAAAACGGCGATCTCTTGTTCGTGCTAACAGTGTCGCGCTTTGTGAATTAAGGATCTAGTGAATGTAGACGACAATGCAAAGTTTATAATATACGCTGTGTTAATGCCTGGGGTACGGACAGGCTGGAGACCGGGTCCGTGCTATACGGATGACGATGTTTTAATGGGACATGATGAGATGATGGTGGGTTCCATGGTAAGTCACGTTCTGTCTTCACCGTGCGTGCCCGCGGGTCCAACTTTTTTATCCGCGGTGAAGTGGCGATGCTGCGTCACCGACGGGATCCTGCTGTGATTGGTGACGGCTGTTGGCTTCGATGAAGATGAAGTCCAACAGCCATTCTTATTGGCCGGAGGTTTATGTCGCCGTAGCCACAGCTTGTCTTGATGTTGGAGAAAGAGGAAGACGAAGACAGATTGACGTTCGTTACTTCGACTGATGTTCCAAAGCCTTGATCCCGGGTCTTCAAGAGGGTTTCTGTCCAGCGATGGTGTTGCGGACCGTCCCTGTAAGTGAGCCTTACATAAAGCACGGCCTCGCCGGGGTTGGGAACGTAGCAACCGACGACACCACTTTGTTCTTTTCAGGTAAAGTTGGGGATCAGGTTCTCCAGTCGGCGAATAGCAGCTTAACAAAAATAAATGCCTGGACACTTTCCAACTCTTTAGTAACTAATATGGTTAAAATAAAGGCAGTAATATTTTTATCCAAGAATTCAATATGTTCGAATATTCCTGTGCTCTCCTCGGAGGATGCAGAACTGATATTGTCCAGAGTGTAAAGTTCAGAGTGTAAAGGTTCGGAGTGTAAAGGACCCATGCACTTATATTCAATGAATATATGGGCTGGGACGCGGCAGTGCAATGTGTGTAGCTGGAAATATTTCGCAGATTGTAGGAATCATTTATAAATGTCATGTATTACCCCGTTCAGTGATAACTAGAGGTGCCGCCAACTTTTTTTGAAACTAACGTTCGAAGGTCGAACCAGGGGGTTCAGATGGTTCGAGACGTTTCGCTTTATCAAACTTTTGCGTTTATAAATTGTATCGTTTTGAGCTTACGACCTGATTATACTCAAAAATTCGATTATTTCGAGCGTATTGCATTAAGAAATTAGCAACTTACGAACTTTCGACCTGACTAAACAAAAAATTCGACAATTTTCGAACTCACGAATTTGTTTCTTGAAAAGTTAAAAAAGTATCATAATTTCACACCAGCCATCTTGAAGAGTGCAACAAATTGCGAATCTCATCAGGATTCAAAATATTGCGCCGAAGCTTTTCTTCGTTGTGTTGTAGATCAGTCGGACGCCAGGATGAAAATAAACATATGTTTATTAACGCATGGTTCTTTCATCATATGACGAACACGTGATACGCACCACTACAGCTTGCGTGGTTGATAAGCGATAGGAATGAAAAATGCAGCGTCATTATACAGCACCCCTTTCTCCTAAGATTACTTAGACAAACAAAAATGATGCTTGGCTAGTCACTAACGCCATTACGTATAACTGGTCGTCAATCGCGTGTTGATCTTCGCGGTTTGACTTAATCTCGGTCGGCTTGGTCCGAACTTGGTTTTGGAGTTGCTTGTGGGCTTGTCTGCAGCTGCTTTGGCCGTCTTGACGTAGGAGGAAGCCTGACGTAGTAGACTACACTTGTGACTCTCTGATTCGGACCTGGTCCATGCGCTCCTCAGCTGGTTCCGGTGTATGTGATGACGCTCGCCATTGTCCAGCTAGATAGTGTACAACACCGGGTCTCTGACTGCCACCATTCTGGCCGCCTTCCACCTTCGGCCTGGAGAGAAGCTTTTAGCGTTGACAACGAAGCCGACACGGTACTTTGTTCCTTTTCGGTCGGTGCAGCTCAGGCTCATGTTGACGGTCCGCATTAAGTCTGTCCTCAGCTTTAGCTCCATCATCAATTCTTCTGGGGATTTTCCTGTTACAGAATGTGGCGTCGTGTGCTGCTTAAACAGGAACCGATAAATCTTGCACTCCGTTGAGCCTTCCTGTTGCTCCTTCGATGTCTCTTGAACCTCTCTTATTATCCGCTCCGCCCTACCATTCCTGGCAGGATGGTAAGCTGCACTGAAAACAGCACGCACACCATTACACCTCAAAAACGTATATGACTCTGTGCTTGTGAAGGCTGTGCCGTTATCCGAAACGACGACATCTGGTACGCCATGTGTTAAAAACATATTTCTTTAGCTTGTGACTTCAGCGGTAGTCTTTATGGATGACACGACTTCCAGCTGTACACAGTTACTGTACGTGTCTACAACGATTAGAATACTTCTCCCTTGACTGCACCAGCGAAATCAATGTGTATTCTGCTCCACGGCTGAAGAGGCTTGATTCCAAAATAGACTGAAGCCCTGGGGTCGCTTTGCCGGTTACTTTGACATCACTGACAGTACCGCACAAACTCTCCAATATTGTGGTCCATCTTTGGTCATTACATGAGCCCTCAGGCTGAGGTTTTCATGGCACTCATCCCCGGATGATTTGCATGCAGAAGTTGCAGTATTCTTTCTCATGCGGCTTTAGGAATGACAACGCGATTCCCCCACAGTATGCAGTCTCGATGCAACCCCAACTCGAACGTCCGCACCTCTTAAGGCGCAAACGTGATGTCCAGTTACGTCAACGGCCAGCCACTAAAAATTCGGTCCTTCTTGGTCACCGCAGCGATGTGCGTCGCTTGCAGCGGTGCGCACTCAATCGCTTCCAACAGGAGCACGTACCCAGGTGGCTGTGGCTCGTCCTCGTCTCCTGGAGCTGGCAGACGACCGAGTGCATCGGGTTTGGCGTTGTCTTGGCCTCGCTTCTACTAGATGCGGTAGTCATAAGCAACAAAATCCAACGAAGCAATCTGGGCGACACAACTTCAGGCACTCGCTTGTTAGTGTTAAACAGACCCAGTAGCGACTTTTGGTCAGTTATCTCCGTGAACTCCCACCCAGCGAGGTACTGGTGGAACCTTTTTACCCCAAAGACCACCACAAAACCCTCTTTGTCAATCTGGGCATAGTTACGCTCACTTGCGCCGAGAGTACGTGAAGCATACGCTATGGGTTGCTCCTTTTCGTCAACTGTACTATGGGCCAGGACTGCCCCCCCGCCCCCTACAGGAGATCCGTCGCTCGCAGTACAGAATCAAAAGACGCTTCGGGTACACTGTCGGAGCTACGTAGGGTCTTCAGCCCCTCAAACGCACGCTGATACTCACCTGTCCACTTCCATTCCTGGTCGTGGTCCAGCAGTGGATACATTAGTTCCGCCGCTTCAGGCTTGCCCTTCAGGAAACTGCTGTAGAAATTCAATAACCGCAAAGAAGGCTTGCAGCTCTTTCTTGTTTGTGGGTGCCTGCGCTTGCTGGATGGCGCCCGTCTTGCTCCAGCTCGGATGTATTCCTGCGGAATCAATTTTCTGACCCAAGAATTCAATTGTCGTCTGATTGAATTCGCACTTGTCCTTCTGTAATCCTAACTGTGCGTTTTGCAGACGCGACAGCACGGTCTGTAATCTTTCCGCGTGCTTTTCCGCATTGAATCCGGAAGTCAAGATATTATTACGAAGATGTGCGGCCGGCAGAAAATGACAATGACGCGTCCACTCAAGGAGATAGGAAGTATTTTATGGAAGCCGGGCCGTGCGCGCGGAGCTGGGTGTGTGATGGTCAGACACGCCACTGCCCCAGCGTCGTCACATCCTTCGACCCATTTCCCCCGCTTTTAAAGAGGACGACCCGGCCCATGATTGAAGTATCCACAAGAGTAAACTGAAAACCCACAAGCACATAGACATAGAAGACAAGGCAGAAGACATGAATAGACGAATGACTGCTACCGGCCGCGTATAATGAAAATGTTCTTGAACCTTCAGCCTCACTCCACATCATTGCCGATCTCTGTGCCAGACACAGTCCCACGACCTCACGATCCGGGCTGGGGAGTTTATTGGACCGCTATCAACATAGACGGGGCTTGAGAAAGGGCAGGGGACCATAAACTCGCGTTTGTGTCTCGATTTCGTGCCACTACTTTATCTTGTTCACGGCACTCTTTATAGAAATTCTCGTAACTCATATTCGTTGAACATCTCTCTCTCACAGGCAATTTGGCATTTCAGGTAGTTTGCGGGGCGGGGGCTGCGCGGCTGGGCTATGGTATGGAGCTCAATCGGCTGCGGCGGAGGTCTGCTGCAACCAAGGTCCGGAGCGATGATGACGAAGAACGAAAGATGATGTACCCCGCACCTGTTACAAGAATGTGCGGCCGGCAGCAAATGACAATTACGCGTCCACTCAATGAGATAGAAAGGATTTTATGGAAGCCGGGCCGTGCGCGCGGAGTTTGGCGTGTGATGGTCAGGCACGCCACTGCCCCAGCGTCGTCGCCTTCTTCGTCACAATATCATCAAGATAAGCTTTCACGCCAGGAATACCTGCCAACAACGTGTCGATGACTCGTCGGAACATTCAGGGCGCCACCAAAATTCCAAACGGCAGCCGTCCGACCTTAAACAGCCCCTTTGTCGTGTTGACTGTAAGCACCTCGTCCGATTCGTCGTCTAGCTGTTGATAAGCTTGAGCGAGGTCAAGCTTGGAAAAAAACATTGCTTGAACCCATAGTTCCGAACGTTTCTGAGGTAATGGGCAAAGGATGCCCGCGGGTTTTAACAGCTTTGTTTACCGTGCTACGCTAGTCGCCGCACATGCGTAATGTCCCGACTTTTTTTCTTACCACAACCCGCGGTGTTACCCAGTTGGAGCACTCTACAGGCTCACATACTCCTTGTTGCACCAAGCGATCCACTTCCTTGGCCACGTCATCCTTGAGGGCTAGTGGAACTGGGAGATCCTTGAGAAACACCGGTTGGGCGTCGTTTTTAAGCTCGATGTAAACTGGTGGGCCTTTGAAGCAAGGATGGTCACTGCGGAACACTGCAGTGGCCATCCTGCGGTGTTCCGCAATATAAGCGTACTAGTAAGGCGGTATAAGCGATTACAAACCCTACACAAATATTTTAATCCGGCTATTTTTCTACGGTTCGAGAGTAGTGGAAGACCTAGTGTTTTCAACAAATCTTGAAATGAGTCAAATCGCTAATATTTGCGCCGCCTTCCTTTGATTTTTTTTTTTTCCAGTAAATCAATATTTTTATATGGGTCCCAGATTATTGCGGCATACTCCAATGTTGGCCTAATATAGGTTTCGTAAGCCACTAACTTTGCCTGAATGTGGAGCACTGTTAATATTTCGTCTTAAAAACCAAGTTTTTTCATAGCTGTACAACATACTTCATTGATATGCTTAATTTAACTCAAGTCATTCGAGATTGTTAACCCCAATTATTTAAAACTGTCTACCCAAACTAATGGACAACCACCAAAATCATAAGGAAAAGAAATAACATTTTTAGTTTTCTTAGTCGTTCTAGCAAAAAGAGTTCGTATAGTTAGTACACAAATTGCTGTGTTAAGTTTCTTTTAAAAAAATTTAAAAAAAAACACGATGGTGCAGGAGGAAGACATTTTCCTACTTCAGGAGCATAGGCATACCCGGACCTCCGCCAAATTTAATATGGGGTAACATACGAGAATACCACAAAAACGTAAGTAGAGTTTTGAAAACGTATCCCTTGTTTATTAAGACATAATTGTCACTATAGCTACCTACAGCTCAAGAAACACATGGAATGACTTATATTCGCACTTCTAGCCTCGTGATTCCTTCTTCGGTGGTATTATTGGCTAGGGCCGCAATCTGATTGACTGCGCAGTGACAATAAGCTAGACTCGCCACACTCTGCATTTCTTAAGATGCTAGTGAACTTAATTGTATTAAAGAGAAGTAAGCAAAGTTAAACGTTTTTAAATGCAAATTGCAGGGAGTTAGCACACTGACGCTGACATATTCTGAAGCGCAAACATTTCCAAAGTATTATTCTACTGCCTACCAATTAAATATTTTATTTTGTTCTGGTAATACAAATGATGCACACTAAGCTATATTTGGGTGCTATACCGCATTCAATCTTGACTCTAAATTATTAAGCTGCGTTTTTGTTTTTTTGTATTTTGTTTTTTGCATGGTTTACAATGCTAAGAGCTTAAGGCTCCTGCCACAATATATTTGTAGACACATCAATAGTTTAGCTTGCAGTAAACGTGAACGTTACGAGGGAGGTTCGCCGAGGAGACGTCCAAAAAGCGCATTTATATGAACAGAAATATTTTAACTTTGAAACGCATTTTAAGACAAAACTCTGAGTTATATGACAAATCTCGTGATGCGATATAATTATTTTATAGGGATTTTACAAGGCGTTGAACGAATGGTGCCATACTTATGGTGACATTTTTGGGTAAGTTCGTTTGGTCCACTTGTACATATGCAATTCGCATCTGCAAAAAAGAAACGCAAAGAAGGATATTTAAATATATTTTCAATTTATCACAAATACAAATTAGTCTTGAAACTGGTGCTTGCATGTTGGTCTTCGTGAAGTGGTTCAAATTTTTTATCCACTTCAAGTGAACTTTACTTTGTTGAACCTAAGCAGTACCGATTTTGCAATTTTTATTGCTCAAACATTATATAATTTCAATAGGCTTCCTTCCTTTTAAGGCAAAGCTTTACATCAAGTTTTCCACCTGCAGCTGTCAATAGCAGTAAGAATAAATAGTTTCCGTGTGGTTAAAGGGGCCCTGAGGAGGTGTCCGAGATCGCCTAAATATGGCGATAACTCACTCTGCGGGCTCTGAACATCCTAAAAGTTCCAAAATCACGATCATGCACGGCCGATATCCCTATTCAAAAATCAATCAAAGATCGCAACAATCGCATCATCTCAGGTGATGGGAGGAGCATGTTCTGGGCAGCAGGGCTGACATGTGACCAATAACAACGCGACATTTCGCGGAGATTGCAAACGTTATTACAAAATCTGTATGTTTCTATAGATAATAAGAACAAATAACAGTATGAGACAGATGTTCCTGTTTCGCGGAGGGGAACATAATACTTCTATAATCCTTTCATGAACAGCGCACGGGTCCACCGGTCGGAGACGCGCGAATTCTTCCCTTGCTATTCGCTGACAGTAGCTCCGGTTTCGGAACATGCTCCTCGCCTGAGATGACCTCTGTGTGTTGAGATCTTTAATTGTTGTTGTTGTTTTTTTTTTTTTTAACAAGGGAGTCGGCCGCTACCATAATGATATAGAGATTTCTAGGATTTTCGTAGCCAGCAGGTTGAGTTATCGCCATATTTATATTATTTGCAAAACTTCTGTAGGGTTCCTTTAAAGGGATACTGAACCGAGATTTAGATTTCGCAAAATTAGGCCACAGAAGCGTTGGACGGGACGCTACGAACTCCAAAACATCGCTCATACATCGATATCTCAAACAGATGGCCGAACTTTTGGAAAAGAAGGGCGCGATCAAGCGAGGTCTTTGACGTCATTGTCCTCCAGGAGAATTAGAGAATGAGGAGAAGCGGCCTCACTTCTCTCCTCCTCGCTCCGGTTCACCAGCTCGACGGGACGTAGCGAGGAGTAGAGGGACTGGGAGTCGGGACGTGCCTTGTCTCGTCGGCCTCGTTGGCCGTATTCAATCGCGCACGTCTTTTCCAAAAATACGGCGATCCGTTAGAGATATCGCTGTATGAGTGAGGTTTTGGGGTTTGGGGTCCAGCTTTCTTTCGTGAGCTCGAAATTTCGGTTCAGTATTCCTTCAAGGGAGTTGTAGTTGTACTTTTGCAGAGTATAATCAAATTTCGAAGTGTTCTGCCTTTATTTTATAGTCGGGTATTATAGCGAGATTTAACTACGCAGCTGACGCGCTGGGTGGTAACTATAGCACATACTATAGTATGTTTATAATAACTAAAAGTTTAACAAACGCGCTGGGTGGCTAATAATCTCCCCACTGCTTTCTTCGCGATTCATCCTTCGGTGTGTTATTGGCAAATGCCGTCATCTTATTGGCTAAAAGGCGATAATAGGATTCCTTAGTGCGTCATAGGCTCACCAAGCGCAGCGTCTCTAATGCTGTTAGTTTTCATAGCTTTCACATCGAATGCGAGTGCTAAATGTTGATTCAATAAATTAACAATTGTGGCACCAGTTAGACTCGAAACTTTTTTTAAGATACCTCGAGCTTCGCTTAGGTTCAGGATATTTGTGGCACTTTCTGTTTCATTTCTAGCCTCCTAAAAGTCTAAAGAAGCAAAAGTTTCTGATTATTTCCCCGCCTAATTCTTACACATTACAGTTTTTCTCTCTTTCCCTAGATTCTACAACGGTGACGTCCCAACGCTAGTTGTGAAGGACCTGGACATGCTAGAGTACATCTTCGTCACAAACTTCCAAAACTTTACTGACCGCGGCGTGAGTTCACAGCGACTCTATACTTCGTTTTTCTCTAAGTTCGAGCGCAGACGATGCGAAGATCCGTCAGAGCCAATCGAGCAGCGACAAAAAAGCATCGTCATGCCGCTCGTCGTCATTTGGCCCTTTGCTATCACCAAATAACTCCAATCTAACAGACAAAGAAGAACAGCATCATGGTGCGTTTGCTGTGTGTGATTGGTTGAGCCGTTAATATGAAACGCTCAAAGTCGAAAGACGCCATGACAAGGAACTTTGTGGGGCTGCTCGAATGGCTCAAGTCCAGGGTCTTTAAAGTTACTTCAAAAATGTACCTAAGATACAGTAAGTTACTCATACAAAAAGGTACCTGGCTACTCGCTTAAAAATGTACTATAGGTACAGCTACTTCAAATATACTTTATTTATTTATTTTCCCGAAATTTGTCAGAATATATTGGAAGTAAAGATCTTTATGCTGATGATGGCACAACAAAAACGAGCTCGGTAAATCTGCTTTATTGGTGTCAGTGCGATGTCTACATTGGAGTTGAGTCTTCACGCGCCTCATCTCCACGCTCTAATTGGTTCACCGAGGCCACAGCTTCAACTGTTTACCATGTCACGCCAAAACCGCCGAAACTCGCTTGTTGACGCTCTTGCCCTCAGATCCGGTGCTGACTTCCACGGGCCCAGAAGACGTCGGCCGCATGAAGGAACACATGAGTCGAGTGCATATGCACCTAACGTTCATGACGACGATCGAAAGGCTTCAAGCTTCCTCGTATTATTTTTTTTTTTATTTTTCTTTCGTTAGTCGGAAGAAAAATACGCGCTTTTTTTTCTTTTGTATTTTTTTTTAGTTTTGAGAACTGCAAAATATGAGTCTGATTTATGTATTATATAAGCAAAGTTACATTGCTTTACGATTTTAATTATCATTTATTTTGAATTATATTGTATATTGTATTTATGGCAGAAGAGAGCAACCACAAGGACAAGATACAGGCAACAGAAGCTGCGCACATCTTTCAAGTTAACTCCTCTCTTTCACAGCTGCCAGAGGAGCTTCAAACACACAATGAAGTAGATTTTGGTTCGAGGTGAAGGAAGCAGGTCGCTATTTTCTCTAAACGGAGTTCCGAAGTGATCAGATAAATTGGTGTCGGTAGAACGACATCACTAATCCACCGTTCTTTCAAATGAACACCGCCATTCGCTAAAGTGTCGTTCGATGAAACATCATGAGCTGGACGTCGTTCGCTAAAACGTCGTCCGATCAGGTCAGTGCCTCCCACGTCGTACCCAACTCAACGTTAATCACGGTACATGGTAGTGTGTTTATACTTCAAGATGTGCAGTTCCTACCATTTTGAAGAAGTGAATAGAAAAGTAGCTGTAAAAATTAACTTCACTTAGTTACAAGTAGGGCTCCGTGTTTTCGAAGTTTATTTTTCGTGAAATTCGGAGGGTGTTTATCGGAGTTCATTTTTTAGCGAAAATTTGGTGTTTATCGGAGTTTATTTTTCGTAAATTCCCAATTCTCCGAAATTCGAAGATTAATGTCGCAGTGTTTCCTATTCAAAAATAATAAAGAATAGCCAGATGCAAACGTATGCTAGATAAAAAATAAAACGCGCTTGTATCAATTAAGATTTCTTCAGTTGAATTTGCCGTTGGTGTCATTGGCAATACTAATTTGTCCCACGACAAAAGTCGCACACATGCGTGGCTTCAATCAACGTCGATGCCTTAAAATCAATAAACTGCCCGAGGTAGTCACAAGGGAGCTCGTAGTCATTCCATCAATCTCTCCCGCGGCCACGCGAGGTGGAGTGGCTAAGGATGTAATAGAGAGGTTTCAACTGCCCGTCTTCCCTATTTTATACAATCTCTATGGTCCATAGGTTTCACTGTTACCCCCAGAAACGTTCCCTCACCTTTCTCTAAATCCCAAATCCCGTGGCCCAAACTGGAAACCAAAAGAGTGGCTTTTGTCGTGACACGAATGGTACGATGACTTGTTTCCGTGAACCAACCTTGACGAGACAAGCCGTAAGACCCTTTTTTGACAACGGTCCTAGGCTTGAAAGATAATTATGGTGTCATTTTCCCAGGACCATTATTACCGCGCTGCACAAATTAAAAAAAAAATGTACTTTTTTTTTTGCTGTTTGGGGGGGGGGGGGGGGGGGGGGATGGCAAGGGCACATAACGATTCGGAGTTTATCGGATAAATCCGAATCGACAAAAATTTTACCGGCGGGTGTTTTTCGGAGTTTTTCGCATTTATCCGAAAACACGGAGCCCTAGTTACAAGTTACTTGAAAATGTACCTAAGATGCAGATAAAGATACCAAGAAAGAAGTACCCAGGTTTGTACCTCACGTACAACAAAAGTACCCAGATACCGGTTTCCAGTTACATACACCTGGGTACTTTACAACCCTGCTCAAATCCTAGCCTCGGCTGCGGTCGACCTTGGAGTGAAGCGGAGCGTAGTCCCCGTTACGCTACATCCAATTAACATGCATTACGGTTTCTGCTGTAACTCAGATATCGTCTAATGATATTCCAGGTAACCATGAGAACCGACGAAATGCACTCTTCTCTCGGGAAGTGCATTTTGAATGCAAAGGGAGCCCAGTGGAGAAAGCTGCGCGGCTACGCTTCCCTTGGATTTTCTATAACGAAGCTAAAACAGGTACGTTTGGATGCGTTACTTACACTTACGCTGATGTAAGCCCCGCAATAATCGGCGGTCAATCTACAACAGCCGCACTTGCCCTGGCAAACAGTGAACGCTTAGCGCGCCCTCGTCGATTGCATCCTTGTGCCCCTCGCGAAACTCGAACGGTCTCTCCTTGTGCCGGTGGAGAGCTTGCCGAGCGGCTCAAACCGATCCGTGGGAAAGTGGCGGAGCGCATCGAGCGACCGGGAGACGTTTTCTGCACTGCTTGCTTCGTAGAAGTTTGGTCAATAGTTACTCGCAACGTTTTAGTTTCGATATCTGCGTTAGCGTGGTTGTCGCAGCCCCGAAAGCGATAGCGAAAGCAGTATTTAACGATAGAAAGTTTTGCGAATATCAAAGGGATGGCGGTGCTGTTTCAAACCTAGTTACCACCTGTTAGAAATTCGGCGAGGAGGCACGGCGCGGTGCCAAGGTGTCGACGATCCTGCCAAACAGCCGGAGTTCTCAACACCGATTCAATTCCCCGCTAAATTTAGCGGGGAATTTACTTGCTGTTGAGGTCACGTGACGTCAATGTTCTCGCTAAATCTAGCGGAGAAACTTGATTTGTTATGATTAAAAAGCTGAACAAGACGACGGACACAGAAGGAGACACAGGCACAGCGCTTTTTAATTATTATGAATCACCAACTTGCCCAACTTTCTACCATAGAGTTATTATAATGTACGCTAGAGGTTCAAGTGGCGCTAGTGTGCTGACGCAAATTGAAGCAGACAGCAACCAGCCTAAAATTGACTTCCGGTAATGCATTTCTATGGGAAAAAGTGAGTGCATTTTCCCTCTGCGCTCGATCATAAGAGCAAATATCCCGAATAATTCGTACGTTCTAGGTAGCTTGGAACATTTCTCAGTCAGGCCGACGAAATAATTGGTCAGTTACGGTGTTTTTCTTTCAAAGTCATCGCATTAAAAACGGTTCTAAAACAGCTTCGTACGTGTATTTATGTGCACTGTCGGACACTGTTAGCGCGAACACGACGTCGGCGCTTTTCAGCGTGGGGGATATACGTGCCAAACGAACGAAGAACATCTGGAAATTAAGAAAGATGGCAAGAACTACGCAGTAACACCGGATCAATAACTACACGTGCATATACGATCAAAATTAATTGAAGGCCACGTAATCTATTTCTATTTTAAATAAGTAAGTACCGTTTTATTCTTTCTGCTCTGAGCGAAGCTGCTTGTTCTACGTTCAAAATATCACTCGCACGCTCGAAATCTTTGAGAACAAGTGCCCGATAAAAGCTGCCCGGCAGAGAAAAAAATACGAAGAGACAACCTTTATAGCCCACGGACTTTGTTCTCTACGTTTTGAACGTTTTTATCCGCTCATGCACGACGGGGTCATTTTTATATAGTGACAGGACTGGCATATTATCAATATATAAGCGTCACCGGATTGCTGGCGAGCCTTGAACACACTCTACATTCCTTTCGATTGTAATTTTGCTTCGAATCGTCGCTTGTTTTTACACACCTGCTGCGGAACACACGTTTGGGACTGAAATGTAGCGAAGTTAAACATCGGTCACTTATGAAGAAAAATGCGCTAACTAAAGCAATTACACTTTTACAGTGTTAATCAAGGTACATCCTATTCGGTACGACCCAAATAACCAAAGTGTTCCGAGTTATTTTCCGGCGAAGAGACAAAATGCACGCGCGCTTTCCCATAGGAATACACGGGAAGACTGGAAAAGTAGACTGGTTGCTGTCTGCTTCAATTTGCGTCACGGAAGTCGCATAAACACTAGCGCCAGTTGAACCTCTAGCGTACATTATAATAACTCTATGCTTTCTACCCTCGTCAGCTTGATTTGTTCATAGGTGACGCGGCATCAAGTCATGTGACGTCATTTTCCCCGCTAAATTTAGCAGGGAAACTTAATTGGTGTTGAGATGACGTGGCGTCAATTTTTTGACTGAATTTAGCGGGGAAACTGTGGGAGGAGGGGAGGGTATGGAGGAGGAGAAGGTGCGCAAGAAGAGGAAGGGAGGGTACGGAGTAGGAGGAGGGGGAGGGTACGGAGGACGAGGAAAAGAGGAGGAGAAGGAGAGGATGAGAAGTAGGAGGAGGAAATAAGGGGAGGAGGAGGAGGGGAAGAGGCAGAGAGGGTCGGAGGAGGAGGGGAGGGTACGGAGGAGGAAGAGAGGCATACCCTCCCTTCCTCCTCCTCAAGAGCTGCGGTCTAAGTTCGAGTTACATAAATTTGTAAACGTCTTTCCTTTTCTCGCTGTGTCCTAATTGATTTCCCAAAGACATCGTGTCAATATATTTAATTTTGTTGCGCTTAAGAACAACTTCAAAGGGCTGCCCAAACAGGATGCGTAATCTGAAATGAGCATTTGCTAGACGTGAAGTGGAGGTTGTCGTCCGTTTTCGGAATGTTTTAGCAGGCTTTTTTTTTTTCTTTTTTTCTTGCCGAGGGAAATTTTTTTTTTTCAGCTTGCGTTCTTGGACAGAGGCTTGGAGCGTGCTAATCACGGGAATCCGTTCAACGCAAGGAGTTACAAAGAGAGAGGAGGAGGCAACGTTAAAGGGTGTCCAAACAGGATACTACAAAACGCACGACTCCGACAAATCGTGCGGCGCTTCGCTTCCGCCCGCCGGGGGGAAATTTCCCCCTGTCAAATCTGCCGGGGGGAAACTTCCCCCCGTCAAATCTCCCCCTCGCTACCCTCGCTATCTCCACGGCGGCCTTGCTCTGCTCATCACGTGGGTCCGGAGAGCCACTCACACGCTCTGTTGGCTGTCGGTCAATCGCTCAAGGCTTCCGCCGCTTTGGAAGTCCCGAAAACGGGAAAGGGAAGACTCGAGTGTGAGGGGGCAAGCCAGGCGAGCGCGCGTCGTGTCCGACTCCAAGGTTGTGTCATCTTCCAGCAGTTCTGTGGATTGGATCGGATTCCCGCGGCTCTTGTTCCCAACGTACCTCGTATAGACAAACAAACCTGGTTGGTTTGGAGTTTAATAAAATAAATGATATACTCTTAAGTTCTCAGTGTTTCTACACACAACTAAAAGTCTCACTGTTGCGCACTGCACTTTATTTTTATTTATTTTTTTCTAGTTACGAACGTGGATTTTGACAAAGAAAGCTGAGCCGGGGCCGCCGAAACGTGTGCTTCGAAGCAGGAATCTCCCAAATCCACCCGAAGCCGAACCTCTTTGGCCTTCCTGCCGAGGTGGCGGCGGTAGCAGGGTCGGCGACTTCGTGAGCCGCGGGAGATAGACAGGCATCGGGCTCACTATTGGCAGGTGGCGTGTGACGTCAAGTCCGACGAGCACCGACGTCAAAGAAAAGTGGACAAGGCGAGGAGGAAAGTCGTGAATTTGGCTTGGCCGGTGTCCAACGATTTTTGCAGAAGTCGTGTGGCATGACGATTTTTGTAGTAGCCTGTTTGGACAGACCTTTTCTAGAAGAAGGCAGTTAGGAAAATAACCCCTGAAACACGGACCCCTCGCGTCTACCGAGACCGATCTAGTTACGATTACGGCGCCGCCCTTTAGCGGCTAGTCAAAACACGAAAGTCTCTTGATATAGCTACTGCAAGATGGAACCGCGAGATGGCGCCACCGGCCCCTGCGCGACTCGACTGGACCGATACGTGCAGCCGTGCAGTTCCCGGAGTGGTCGCGGAGGAGAGCACTGGCGGCGTACAGATCGGAGTCACTTAATTCAAAGCAGGCTGCTAAGGCAGTGTCCGAACTGAGTTCTAGTAACGTGGGGTGAAGGCGACATACCCGTTCAAGTCAACCAAACAAGAAAATCCCACGTGTAGCCGGAAGTAGAGGTCGTGGTCGGTGGGAACGCCCACAAAGGGGCCCAAGAGTGTCCCTCCCGTCCAATAGCGGCTTTGGGTTTTGTTCACTTTTGGTCATTGTTGGGCGCGTATCCCCCAAACCGGAAGTCTTCCTCGGGTTCACCTCTGGTGTCCTCAAGTCACTTGCAGAAGCTTCCTACCTCCATGGTACAGCCAATCACACGCTCTGGTGGCTGTCGTCAAGCCATCTGCTGTTGTTGTCTGTCCTCAATCCTCCCAGAGCAAGAAAGAGGAGGGAAGGACAGCGAGAAGGAAAGCCGTGCTGTTTATGTGGCTAATATCCTCACTGAAAACATACGCGCGCGCCGCTAATTTCCTGCTTTTAGTAAAACGCACTCGTTTCTTTATTTCTCTTTTTCTTTTTTTGCCGGCATTGGTAGTAATTTGTTTGGAGAGCCCTTAATGCCGTACGTCTAGAGCGAGGGTATCCAAACTTTTTGGCTAAGAGACCTGTCGCTGTCTCGACGGCCATACTATAAATAAGTAAATATGAGAGAAAATATCGTTAGGGTGCAGGCGAGCTGGGGAATTTTAACCACGTTGAATTAGCCTGACACTGGGGTAGAGAAGAAACATTGCAACGTAGAAGAGACAAAATAGACAGCACCACCCCTCAAACTCAGCTAACTCGTTTCAAGGTCATCTCCACCATTGTATTCGGTTGTTTGCCGGTGAATGTGTAATGTATAGAAAGATTAAAAGTTCAGATGATGCCGCCCAGTTGCAAGTAGACCTTGATCGCATTCATGGTTGGTACTCTACGTGCAAAATGAATTTAAATCATAAAAAGTGTGTTAATCTTTGTTTTACAAAAAAAAAAAGTTGAATCTCGCTATTTTATTAATAATAACCCTATTACAAAGAAGCTTACGTACAAATATTTAGGTGTCATATTGTCATCTGATTGCTCCTGGAATGCCCACATACAAACATTAGTTCTAAAAGCTGGCAGGACGATGAATTTTATTCAACGTAACTTCAAGTGCCCACAACCTAACCTAAAGACAACTACTCATTTAACATGTGTTAGAACCAATTTAGAGTATGCATGTTCTGTCTGGGACCCAGCCCAGAAGACGTTGATTAATAAGCTGGAGAAAATACAGAACAGGGCGGCTAGGTTCGT